TAAGCTGAACACTGGTTCCACCATCCGTACCAGCACGGTCCCGAAAGGACCGCATCCCAAACTGGGGATGACGGGTGGCAGAAAGCCAGCCGCAAACGCATCCGCCACGGGCTCATCTGTGCCTAAAGCAGCGGTAGGCACTGCCAAGGCGCTCGGGCCACCCGCTGGAGCAAAAAAATACACTTACGCAGAAAGGCGGACTGCCGCCCAGACTCTGCGCTCTCATTCTAGGAGCACCGTTGCCACACCCTCGCCTGAATGGCTAAAAAAGGTTGAGTGGGCAAGGAAGGTGCTTCCTAACTACGGACAGGATAAGCTCACTCAAGAAGGGACTCAAGCGAAAAGGCAGCGATCCCTCAAACTACCCGGACCATCAGCGAAGAGATCTAAGATCCAGCCATCGGTCTCATTCGCCGAAATCACAAAGAACCGTGTCATACTCGGCCTAATTGACAGGGGAAATCCGGAGGGCAGGATTCCCAGGAACAAGTGGAAGGCAATGGAGTCCCACCTTTCCCTCATTTGCCTGCGCATGGTACGGGAGAAGCCAGGCACCTCGCCCTGCTGCATGAACGCGGGCTGGTACCAGGGCAGCGTCAAGGTGGTGGCCTGCGTCAGTCAGCGGTCGGTCGACTTGTACAAACAGGCGACGAGCAAGCTCAGTATGGCAAGGCGGTATGTCCTGAACAAGGAGTCAGTTGCTCCGATCGAGAGTTCTCGAGGGGTGCTGAACTTCGGGTTCAGTGCGGTACACATCAAGGTGTATAAGGGCGACTCCAACGCCGCTAGTACTCTACCGATTCGTCGCTAAGCAGAGAGATGCGAGCGCTCGGACCAGCTATCGAGGACGTAGACCTCACAGACACAGAGGAGGCCGACGTCACTGTGGTGGAGGTTGAAGCTGTAGATGTCACTAAGACTTCTACAAATAAACCTTCACCACAATAAAGCAGCGTCTGCTGCACTTCTGCTTCGCCTGACCGAAGGCGGAGCAGACCTAGTCCTTATACAAAAACGTTGGGTATTAGGAGGCAAGGTTGCTGGACTAGGAACAAAGGAATACAGGCTTATGCTTGACCACAAAGAAGGTAAAATTCGAACATGCATATTAGCCAAAAGGAATCTCAGTATATTTATACTTCGCAATTACAGCAACGTAATAAGCTGTGACGCCAACGCCCATCACACCCAGTGGGGTTGCCCAAACAGCAACGACAGAGGTAAGTCTCTTTTTGATTTTATTCTAAATTCGAACCTGTTCTTATGCAATAGGGGCAATGTCCCTACATTTATAACTAAAGCTTCCAAACGATCATAGATCTTGCTTTGGTATCAGATTCACTCGTAGGCGCAGTCAAAAACTGACCAGTCTCTGACGAGCACTCCATTTCGGACCATAGATTCATAGAAACTGTATTGTCCCTTGATTCGCCCTTGCCTATAAGCTTCCCTAGAGCCGACTGGCACAGGTACAAAGAAGTTCTGACAAATATCCTCCCCATGGAACCGTCAGAAAGCATCACAAACCCACAGGAGCTGGACGGAACAGTATATAAATTCACAGAGGCATGCAACACTGCCTTCAAAGTGGCATGTCCCACAGGGAAACCAAGGGGAAGGAAAAAACCCCTGGTGGACCCAACAACTATCAATCCCCAGAACCAACTGCAGATGCCTGTTTAACAGGGCAAAGGCGGGAAATGAGGACATTAACTGGCTGAACTACAAGTATGAACTAGCCTCTTACAAAAGGGCCATTAGAAGAGCAAAACGAACGGCATGGCAGACCTTCTGCTCTGACATAGAAAAAACAACTGATGCCGCAAGGCTCAGGAAAATACTCTCTAAGACAGCCGCGCCTTTGGGCTATCTTCAAAAAGCAAATAGATCATGGTCAGACTTCAGTAAAGAGTCCTTGGACCTGCTCCTAGACGGTCACTTCCCGGGGAGCCAACAAGCAGGTCATCCTCCTGAAAGAGGAGCAGAAGAGGGAATCGAATTAGATCTACTCCTATCAGACCGCAACATGAAATGGTCCATTCATAGTTTCAAACCATGCAAATCGGTGGGACCGGACGGGATAACACCGGCTCACATCCAACAAGCAGGACAAATAGCCATAAACTGGTTGAAAAAAATCTTCCAATCCATCCTGGCGGTAGGAGAACTACCAAAAGCGTGGCAAGAAACAAAGGTGGTTTTCATTCCCAAGGCAGGGAAGGCCACTCACACCACAGCAAAGGATTTTAGGCCAATAAGCCTAAAATCATTCCTGCTTAAGCGCTTTGAATGAATGATAAGCCTACACATAAAGGCCACCGTAGACCCGACACAAATATCAGAAGCACAGCACACTGGATATAGAGGGAGCCTTCAATAACGTGCTCCCCACTGCTATAACAGAATCTCTCACAGAACTAGGTGTTGAGACACCAATGGTGAGGCTACTCCATAAGTGGCTGATAAGCAGAATGGTCACAGCCACACTAGGGACCTCAACCCAGACTAGACTAGAGAACAGAGGCACCCTTCAAGGAGGGCTACTATCACCCCTCCTGTGGAACACCGCAGTATATTAACTACTGCGGATTCTGGAAGGAGGAAGTTATAAGGTTGTGGCGTACGCAGACGACGTCGCCATCATCTTTAATGGAAAATATACACAAACACTTTGCGATCTTATGACCGCTAAACTTAAAATACTATCGGAATGGACGATAGCGAACGGAACTTGTTCTATTTACAAACAGATACAAAATTCCACAACTCAACTCAACCCACCCATTCTAAACAATTGTAATCTCTCTTTTAGCGATCACGCCAGGTACTTGGGGTTAGTATTAGATAAGCGCCTCTAATGGGGCTTAAACCACCAAGAGAGAACCAAGAAAGCGACCATTGCACTTTACTCCTGTAAAAAGTAATTGGGCTACGATTGGGCATGTCCCCTAAAATCGTCAACTGGATATAGAGCGGTAGTCAAGCTGCATACTGTGCAATGCATACTGACTCCTTTAAGCAAAGTACAGCCAATGGCGGCTTTGTGTATTAGTGGAGTCCTTCGAACCACCCCGAATGAAGCGCTGAATGCGATCTTGAACCTCCCTAGGCTGGACTAAGCAGGCATGGAAAGGGCCAAATCGGCAGCTATTCGACTGAGGGACACAGGGCAGTGGAAAGCCCAATTTTATGGCCATGCTAAAATTCTCCAGCACGATAAATCGATTCCGAAGATCACGGATTTATGCAAATCCATTGAATATAGTCTCACACCCTTTGAGGCCCTGATTCCAGATAGAGAGGAATGGGAGTAGGGCCGACCGGGCACGACGGACGCAATTTGTTTCTATACAGATGGCTCCAAATTAGAAGGACACGTTGGCGGCGGTGTATACTCCGAACAATTAGATATCAGGAAGTCGTTCAGGCTCCCGGATACCTAAACATATACAGTGATAGCCAAGCGGCTATTAAATCGATCTACTCGACAAACACCAACTCCCGTACAATAGCAGACTGTCACAGATCTCTCCACGAGATGGCAATTCAGTTTACTATCAGCCTAATATGGGTTTCGTGTCAACGGGACAACGTAGGCAATTGCATAGCGGACGAGTTAGCCATGCAGGGCACCACCAAGCCTCTCCTCCCTGGAGAGAAGAATGTCGGTATGCCCATGGCAACTTGCAAGCTAATTATAAAAAACTACTTTAACACACTAGCCAACACCTTTTGGCAAAACGCACCACAGTGTCGTATCTCTCACCAGGCATGGCCTGTGATAAGCAACAAAAAATCCTCGGAGTTACTCAAACTCAGCCGCACAGAGTTTGGCATGTTGATTCGAGCTCTTACAGGCCACTGGCTTGTTGGCCCACATGCCGGCAGGCTAAAAGCCCCGAAAAAAGATTTCTGCAGAAGCTGCAGGGATGAGGAAGAAGTGGAAACGGTAGGACACCTTCTCTGCTTCTGCCCAGCCCTATGCTGACTAAGACTGAAACACTTAAGAAGTCCCTTTATCGACGATCTTACCGAAATATCGGAGAATAATCTCAAAAACATAAGTGCCTTTATTAAATCTTCTGGGTGGAAGACATGCTGATCAGCTTAACACAGGTTGAAACTTCTAGAAACGTGACCCTAGAGAAGGAAAAACGAGATCATGCGGTATCACAATGGACCCATAGAGGTCTAAGTGTGTGGAACCATAGTCTAACAGCCGCCCTAACTTAACCAAACCTAATATCCCCTTCCCATACAGTCCATTCGTTAGAAACGGTTGGGAATTTTGACAAATGTGAAACTCCGATTCCCACAGGGCACATCCACCATCTACCATCCGACAACAGCTGTCAGTTCGCTCTCGTGGATTACAGGTAAACTGCGTTCTTCTAAGAGCTCAACAATGTTCTAAACGCATTGTATTTTAAATTTACTACAGATACAGATTTACCTATGTAAACATCGGCTCTGCTGGGCGCTGCAACGACTCCACTATATTTCAAAAGTCGAGCCTGGCAAGGGAAATTTGTGGCGTTCAAGTTCCGGTGCTGCTTATTGGGGACTCTGCCTTTAGATTTTCCCAAACACTGATGAAGCCGTACCCATTTTCCACAACTGCATCCGAAGAACAGCGAAATTTTAACTATAATCTGTCTAAGGCTGGGCGAGTGGTAGAAAATGCATTTGGCCATTTAAAGGCAAGGTTTCGGTTTATTGGGAAAGGTCTTGACAGCCACTACAAGAATAATAATGCAGTTATTCTAGCCTGCTGCATTTTGCACAACATTTTAAATGAGCACAACAGCGCTATAAATGAAACTTGGCAACAGGCTGCAAATGACCTAGGCGAACAAACAAATCGGACTAATATGTCTGCAGATTTTAGCCAACCTGCAGAAAAAATAAGAGCAGCTATTTCCCAATATTGTCTAAATGGTAACAAATAAAGTTCATAAAATATAAATCTGTTTGTTTTTATATTTAATTATAATATCACATTTCATTTTGGTCTATTTATTATAAATTATAAATTTATTAGGAATTAGTTGATTTTCTTAAAAGCTCTAACAAATCAGATTGGAATTTTGCCTGGCTGTCTGCCATTCTCGACAATATTTCTGTCTGCGCCCTCTGCTCCACCAGTCTTTCTCGAGCAATCTCTAAAAGCTCCGACTTATGGTCCACCTTTGCGCGCTTAGCAGGGGGCGCAGTGCTGCTTGAGCGTTGACTGCCGCTGCAGGTAGAGGCTTCCCTGTCATCTGGGTCGACATCCAAGAGCTCCACAAAGTATTCCCTAGTATCTGCAATAAATAAATTTTTTTAGATAATTTTAAACCAAAAATATAAGTGTGGGGACATACTCTCGTTCTCCAAGGTGTTCTGCTCCATGTTGTGGATGCGGTATGCGCCTAAAAACGAGTGGACCAACTCATAATGCTGCCACGAGGAAGGAGCGCCACCGCTTGGCCCCATTTTATTTTTTTCCTGCCTGCAAGGAAAAGTGGATTTCCAATACGTTGTTGCGCGCATAAAAGTTACCTGTACTTTTTGGTCAGGTTCTCTATTTTCGTTCGGACGTCCTTGTAGGACACATCAAACCCAGCTTCCATTAGGGTCTGGGCCATCTCCATGTATATATGGACATTTTTTCTGGCTCCGCGCAACTCCTCGATGAGCAGGACCTCCATCTGCTTAGTCCACCTCAGTTTGCCACCGGCAGTTCGCGTATTATTGACTGCAAAATTAAAAGCAATGAATTATTACAAATATAAAGTCGCCTTCCATTTTCAAAAGTTTCCCGTCATCATTGTTTACGTTTTTGTAGTGAATGTTCCACTTTCCACTTTCAAGAAGAAGAGTTTAGGGTTTCCACCCAAAATTATCGCCTAACTATCGCATAAAGTAGTCCGTTAAAACTGGATGGGGAGCTAACTGGGAAATTTTCGGAACGGCAAAACCTTATGGACCATCCGTTCAACGGATGGTAGATGGTGGATGGATCTCTGTGGGAAGACCCTATAAGCAGTTTTTATTTTAGAACAGAGAAAATTATACCATTGGAAAGGGCTTGAAAAAGGCGTTTTCACTTTCTCCTGCTCATTCTCAGAAGATAACGAGGGGTCATATTATTTGAAATGCAATAAAACGGAAGGGTTCCGTGAAATACCAAACACACTGATTATGGGATGAGTATACGCTTGCAATTAAAAGCAACTCATACAAAATACATTTAAAACCGCCTAAAAAACCTCCGCAACCGCTTTTAATAGCTACTAACATCTGTTTTTGTACATACTCATAGCTATACCGCGGAACCTGTTGGTGGTGAAACACAACTTTGTATGAGGCTTTGGCTTAGGTTATGTTGGGTAGGTAAGGCTGGATATTAGATAACTAATCCCCCAACTTAAGCCACACTATCACAAGGGGTCCTGTGATACCACGTGATCCCTGTGCAGATTCTTTTTCCTAGCTCATGGGCTATTTGTTTTCACGAAACAGTTTGTTCTTTTTAGGAAACATATGCGCTGGGCAGAAGCATAGGCGGTGTTCAATGGTCTTCTCTGCGTCTATCTGCTTGCAGCTGCGGCAGAAGTCGTGGTTACTGAGTCCCAGCGGTTGTCCCTTGTCTTGCTAGCTCGTCTGCTATGCAGTTGCCCTCAATATTTTGGTATCCAGGCACCCAGATGAGGTTGATTCTCAGATGAGTGGCCATCTCGTTCAGAGATTTGCGGCATTCAGACATAGTTTTTTAGCTTGTTGTCTAGGAGTCGAAAGCCCTGAGGGCTGCTTGACTATCCGAAAAGATGAAAATGTCAATGTCATGATCATCTGATGTAACCAGGTGAGACATGGCTTCCTGAATTGCCATGACTTCCGCTTGGAAAACACTACAGTGGTCTGGTAGGCGGAATGAGACTTTTATGTCCAGTTCGGTAGAGAAAACTCCCCCACCTGTTTGGGAGTTAAGCTTGGAGCCATCTGTGTATATATTGACGGCGTTTTCGAATTGGTGTGGAAGGTTGTCCCAGTCTGTATGGGTAGGTATGAAGATCTTGTAACTTAGTTCGAAGTTGACTACGGGAACGTAGTCTGTAATATGTGATATGGATATATAATTTGTTAGGATACTGGAGTGACCCGTTGTGCTTGTTGTCCATGCCGCTGCTTCGTGGAGCGCTGTTGCAAATGCCCAGCTTTTAGCAAGTAGGTCCAGGGGTTGAAGGTCGAGGATTGTGTTTAGTGCTTCAGTGGCGGTGGTGCGCAGTGCCCCACTGATGCAGAGCTCTGCGCTTCCTTGGATTTTGTGAAGGATGCTGAGGTTACAATTCTTTTCTAGGGAAGGCCACCATACGATGCTTCCATAGAGGAGAATGGGCATGACTATTGCAGTGTATAGCCAGTGAACTATTACGGGGGAGAAACCCCACTTCCTCCCTATGGCTTTTTTACAAGCGAAGAGTGATAAGGCCGCTTTGCGTGTGCGATCTAGGAGGTTGTCTGTCCAGTGGAGCTTTTTGTCAAGGACTTTGCTTGGTTACTAAGTGTAAGGCGCGATTGGTGTAGTTTTGAGAGACTTTGATTTGGTATCTTATACTTCCTTGTTAAAAGAACTAGTTCGGTCTTTTCTGGGTTAACTCCCAGTCCACAGTCAGCCGTCCACCTTGAGAGGGTGGATAGGGCTGTCTCCATTAGATTGCAAAGAGTTTGCCGGAATTAACCCTGCAGTAGGATAACCACGACATCCGCGTAGGCTACCACTTTAGTGCCCGCCTCTTCTAGAAGTGATAGTAGTTTGTTGACCACTATAACCCATAGAATAGGTGAGAGTACACCCCCTTGTGGGGTTCCTCTGTTGACATTCCTGGTCGAGTGAGCTGATTCCATTGTGGAGTACACTACTCTGCTGGTAAGCATGGTGAGTATGAGTCCCATGTGATGCTCAGTGCCCAGTTCAGTCAGAGCGCCAGTAATAGCCGTTGGGGTGACGTTGTTGAAGGCGTCTTTAATGTCTAGAAACGCTGTCAGAGACTATTCCGTATTGCGGAAACCTCTCTCTATACGAAATAATAGAGAGTGGAGAGCGGTATTTGTTGATCTGCCTTTACGGTACGCGTGTTGTGCGTCGGAGAGTAGGCTTGGGTTGATAGTTAGCCTGATATGGATGCCAATTAGCTTAAAAGAGTTAATAGCCCACTTGATGCGGTCAGGTTTTGAGATGTTGTCTATGTTCTGATCGTCAAGGTTCTCCTCTATGAAGAGGTCCTCCACTGCTTGGGTGTTAGGGAAATGGGTGTCAAACAGGAGTTCAAGGGTTTCCTGACTGGTTTGAGGTAGCCAATTGGCATTGGTTTTTAGGTAGCCAATGGTTGCTGGAGATTTTGCTAAAATTCGACTGTGTCTGGATGCCTCCGCAGCAGATTCTATGCTACTACAGAAATTAGCCCGTGCTCTTCGCTTTGATATTCTTATTTCCTTTTTGTATAGGCATAGCTTCTTATGGTATAAGTTTCAGGAAGATTCGCTGTTGTTGTACTTAGCCCTATTGAAGTTATTCTGCACTCTCTTTGAAGGCTCGACAGGGTTGTATTCCACCATGGCGGTTTGTGCTTTGCTTTGACTGTTCTGCTTGGGCAATCGCTTTTTATGAAAGTATTCAGTGAAAGTATTTACTATCTTTTCTAATTCTTGACCATTGAAAACGTGCGTCGGTGGAGCGTGTGAGTTTCTATTGAGGAGATTTTTGTTGTACTCCCAGTTGGTTAATCTTAGATTGGTAATGTTCTCGGCGGGAGGACAGTCTAGAGTTATTGTAAATTCTATGTATCGGTGGTCTGAGAATGAGTGTTCGATCCCTACCTTCCACGCTTCTAGATGGTTATGCAGGAGATCAGATATTAGTGTAATGTCTAAGATTTCCCTCCTATTTCTAGTGATGAAAGTTGGGTCATTACCTTTGTTGCAGATGAATAGATTTGATTGAAGGAGATAGTCGTAGAGTAACTCACCCCTTTCGTTTGTGCTTGTACTTCCCCATTGCGTGTGGTGCGAGTTAGCGTCCCCTCCCAGGATGAGTTCCTTAGATGGGTGTTTGGTAATGGCCCGTCATATTAGTGAGCCAGATAGAATGATGCTATGGTGTGATGAGTTTTTTCGTTGAGCTCCGTGGTGAGGTCGCCTTCGCTAAACTGTGGAATAAGAAATGTGTTAAAGTGTGTCTTTGTAAGAATGCAAGTTCTGGTTTTACCCTTATCCTTGGTGTAAAATAGCTTGTATAGGGGGGTTGATAAGCCACAGATGTTGTTACCAACAATCCATGGCTCTTGAATGAGGACTACGTCTATGTTGCCTGTTGCCAGGTGGGTGAGGAGGGCAGCGGATGCTGCCTTGCTATGGTGCAGGTTAATCTGCAGGAACTGCACCATCTTTAGGACCGTGGTCGGGCTGGGTACCCTCTGCTTCCTCCGTTATGTCCTGAGTGCACAGCTGATTCAAGCTTTCGGTTAGCTCTGAGTCAGTTGACAGGTACCCTGTATGGGTGCGTCATCGTGTTCCACTTCGTCGTCACTCGGGGGTTCATACGATGCGCAGGCAGCCAGGTTGTCAACCGCTAGCTTGTCGTAGATGCGAAGCTGCACCTTGTCGATCCCGTAATTCAGCCGGTTCTGTTGCGCTGCGAGGTGTTCCAAGCAGGTCTGGTTCAGGAGGATTACCACGTTCATGGTGACGCCCGAAGCCACACCTTCGCTCTCGGTCGAGTCGCGATATCTGTAGCCTCGCAAACTCCCAGCTTGGCCCCGGAATAGACATCGCCGACCTTGTTGATGGCAGCCTTGTAAAGCGCTGCCGATCTTTCGACCTCATATGCGATCAACTTTACATTGCCCTGGTACCACCCTGCATCTGTGGGATCGGGTGGCGGACCTTGGTTCTCGTCCCGTTAAAACCCGACCCCATTGGTTCCTAGGGATCCTACCGCCTTCATCGCTCTGGTCGATGACGCCAATGATCTTCCGATCCTTTACCACTTCCGCAAAGAACATCGACCATATGCCGCGGTTGGTTGTCATGGCCTTTTTGTTCGCCGGTCGTGCTGCTTCCATCGACCTCTCTCGCTTGTTGCTATTGCTGGTGGTCATAGCGATACCTTAGATTTTCTGGTAATCTAATTTCGACGTTTGATCCCAACGTATGGGGTTGGTGGCCAGCCGTTTGAGTATACGGAATGCTTTCTAGCATTCCAGAGGTCCTTCATGGTTAGGTTGTGTCCTCTTGAGCTCCTTGGCCCTGGTGCTCACCACAAGACCAGCTTTGGCGCTCCTTTCAGGTTGGATTAGCTGGTAAGCCGCTCATACGCAGGTGGGAGACTTGGACTGGTCTTTTTGGTGTTTTGGGCTTACACGGCTGCGTTGTTCGCTGGCCTTGGCAGGGGTTGAAGTCACATGGACTTGGGCTTTCGGAGCAGTGTTCTTTCTCGTCTTATCGTCGCTGGTTGCGACTTCCGACTGTCAGGCTCTTGTTGGTGTTGTTCTTGTTTTTTGTTGTTGTTAAATTTCTCCATACTTAAATCCCACTAGCTGCGGAGAAGGGACAGGTCCTAGCCGGGCATAGATCCGCTGTACCCGGGTAAAGCTGTCTTAGAATACGCGGTCGCTAGATTGACTCTCAGCACGGTACGAGTGACACCTTAGTCAAAACCGGGGTGAGATGAGTGTTGTGTGGGTAGGTAAGAGG